AAGGGATCTCAGCGATCATCCAGTTCCGACCCCGTGCCATGGGCAGGGACACCTTCTGCTATTCCTTCTCAATATCCCGTCCAATCCCCCCCTCTGGCAGTGGGAAGCCAATCCCTGTGTCCTGTCCCTCCAGGCCCTCATCCATAGCCCCTCTCCAGCCCTCCTGGAGCCCCTTTAGGCTCTGGAAGGGGCTCTGAGGCCTCTCTTCTCCAGGTGAACACCCCCAGCAGTCCCAGCCTGTCCCAGAGCAGAGCGGCTTTAACACTTGGAGCATCTCTGTGGCCTCCTCTGGGCTCGCTCCAGCAGCTCCACAACCTTGTGATGCTGTGGGCCCAGAGCTGGAGGCAGCTCTGCAGGTGGACTCTCATGAGGGTGGAATAGAGGGGACCATCAGCTGCTGGACCCTGCCTGGCAGAGGGGACAGGGGTGGCAGAACTGGTACCAGAAGGGTTTGTCTGTAAGTGCAGCCAGCACTGAGCCAGCACTGGCTCCATCACACGGCAGCTGCAGCACTCACCGCTCCCACCTCGCTCCCAGCTACACGCTGCTCAGCCGGGCAGAAATCACTCTGGAATAAAGAATTATCCTGCCTCCATCAGTTTGTCTCTGAGGCATATCGTTTGGAGGGAAGGAGGGTGCTGAAAGATGTCTGCAGAGATGATTTTTTTGTTAATTAAGTTGTGCACATTCCAGCTCTCGCTGACGGCAAAGGGAGCAGCCGTGGCCTCACCTGCGAGCTGCAGGAACCTGCCCAGGCAATCCTTTGGTAATCCCACCTACAGATGTGTTCTGGCAGGCAAGCACAGCTGGGTGGAGCTTCACTGACTTGGCAGCTCTCCCCCTTCTTTCCTGTGGGCATTTTTATAAGCTTTAGTGGTTTCCTTGCCCTGGCTCAAAACCGAGTCTGCTTGTCCATGACAGCCCATCAGGTCAGGATGGAGAGGGATCAACGTCCTGCACGACTCACCAGGAGCAAGGGAGCAGCAGCAGCCTCGGCTCGACCTTGTGACCAACCCTTTGCTGTTCTGGGAGGAAGCACTAGGTGAGGTTTTGATGCTGGATTTCTTGGGAGAGATGTTGTTTTAAAAGATAAATCCAGTTCAGCAATCAAGAAGGTCTCAATGTCAAATGATGTCTCACCTGTTCTGTTACACAGCTCTGGACTGGACCAGAATAGTTTTAAAATAAAGATTACTAGGTTAGTCTACAAGAAACTAATACAAAGATAAGAGGAAAAGACCAGTATTAAATTCTCTACATTAGATCTAGGCTAAGGATGCAGGAATTTTATGGATCAGCTGCTGCTTTCCCTCACCACAACACACACACACTGAAAATAAACACAAAACCAGGCTTTGTTCATTTTACAAAAATAGCTCTTATGAGATTTAATGCCTGTCTCCATTTTACAGATGTTCCAGACAAAAATCAGCCTCCGTATTTTATATATAAGAACAGAACTTGTGACAAGTTGGAACATCCTCTCTGAGCTTGAGTGAGTGTAGAAGGTCACCTGGGTAAAACCTGCCTTTAGCTTGTTCAAAACATCTGTGGTAACGTCAAGTGTTCCCAATAATGATCCAGAAAAACAAAAAGAAAAGACATAAACCCCAGACTTCACAACAGAAACAGAGATTCCTTACAGAACAGCTAAGGAATATCTGGTTAGGTAATTAAAAAATGCACCAATGTTTTCAGGAACTATTAAGCAAAAATGGCTACTATAGAGTTATATAAGGGAGCACCTACAGGTTGAATCTCTTCTGCTTTATTAGGAAGCTTAAAAAGACAGAAGAGAACCTTATCCTGGCGAGGTTATCTTCATTACCTGGAAGTTCTGCAACCACAGGCAAAACAAGGCGAGTATTTTCCCCTCTGAGAGGCAAGCAGGCTGCATTTTGAGGCTTCTTATTTTACAATTTGCCCTCCCAGACAAGATTTCCAAAGCAAATGCTAAAACCGTCTCAAGTTAAGATTATAAATAAATAAAGAGGAGTGACAGGACTCCCATGGGATATCCTGACTTATGCTACAGCAGAAAATAGTCTCTTAAATCTGAGCACAAAGTGGTTTGAAATAATTTACACGTGATCCATACCCTGTGACGTGCCTCTTATTTTTGGTTCTTGTTCTCTCAGGCATTGAGGAGATTTATGTGGGATTTCAGTGAGATTAACCATATGCACTCCCAGGAGTTCTGGATGCTGTCACAGGCCTGCCAAGCAACCTAAAGGTGAGGCCTGCTGCCACACCACGATGCTTAATGAGGACAGGATGGGATTTTAATTAATTTAGCTGATTCTTTGAGCGTTGCTGTGTTTAAGTCTTGAGTGTGCATGTCTAGACTGAGAGCTGAGTTCCTGGGGAGACAGCAGCACTGTGGATTAGCACTTATTAGTCCAGTCTCACAGCAAGTAGAAAAGACTCAAGTCACTCTTCAAGTTGGTTTGAGGACCAGGAGAATAGTGATGAAGCCTCACTATCCACCTAAAGCACAAGCTGCAGGCTCAGCAGAGGTAACCAGGGGTCCCTGCCCTTCTCTGAAGGCAGCAGGGGGTTGGGCACCCTTCAATTCCGGCACTCTGAGGACGTCGGGCTGCGAACTGTCGACATCAGGTGCGACTTGTAGGTCTTGCTCAGGCCGGTCATCCAGAACTTGAGGAGTTTGACATTGTCCTCCTCTGCAGCTCCCAGGATGCTCAGCAGCTTCTGGGTGTCCTCCTTGGGTCTGCTGTCCACTTTAGTGAACTTAAAGAGGACTTTCACTTTACTGCAGGAACAAGAGAGTGCTGTCTTTACCAAATGGACTCACACACCATCAAACAGGGAACAAGGAGGAGCTGAGCTTCTCTTGGCACCTACTGCAACTAAATGTTAATAAAGGCTTCTACCAGTGTTTCATTGAAACTATTCTCATGCTTTGATGAAGAAGGGTGATGATTAGTCAGGGAGATGACTCATTTTCAGTAATATTTCTAGTTTGGATTTTTCATTCTAGCAGAAAGTAGAACAATTAATTGTGACAGCTGGGAGACACATCCAGTGCCCATCTGCCTTCAGGTAAATTCACACAGTCATGATGTGCCATGAATTATTCACATGACTGACTGGTCTTCCTTTACAGCTACCTGCACCTCTGAAATGCAGAGCCTGAAGGCAGAACCCGGGCATGTGTTTGGGTGTTTGGGTGTCAGCTGTGCTGGGCTATGGCCACACTGACAGGCACAGAGGGATCTGCAGCTTTAATCCTCCTAACCTGGGTGAGGCAGGCAGGTGGTGTCATGCAGGTAACCTGCAGCTGTGTGAACTGAAGCATAAAGGTTAAGAACTGCTGAAAGCCAAAAAGACAGTTAGGACTAGAGTAGGAAATTCTTAACTCCTGACTTAATTTGTTCCTGTAAATCCAAATGAGCTTCATCAGAAATCACCTGACTGAAGTGTGTCCTGCACTCTGCTGTTGCTGTGCCAAAGCTGCTCCTCTGAGAGCAAGGCAGCTGTACTTACTTCATCCACTCCTCCTTCAGGCACACAAGGCACTGATCCACAACGTCCACAGAGAGGTTCTGGTTGGTCAGGGCAGCTTCGATCTTGTTCAAGATTGTTGGGCCAACTGCAGGAGCAGAAAAAGGGGCAAGGGTGAGAAAGAGGACACACAAGCTAAAGGTTACTGCTTACACCTTTACTGCTAATCACTGTTAACTATATCCCCAGTGGCCTGCTGGGATTTCATTGCCATGGAAGAGCAGCTAAAGGTCATCCCATTAGAAAAACATCTGATCAAGAAGCAACATGGAATTTACTGAAGGATCCTGGGACATCCAAACAGGTTCAGAGGCCTTTGTTTTCTCTTCAGATCCACTTTTAAACTCCTGCTTAGCTTTTGTTGTGCCCTTACCAAAAGATCATTAAAAACACAAGGCTATGAAAAAACCTTCATGCTTCTTTGTATTATATACAAATATACATATAAAAATATAAACCCTCAACTTATACTTGATTTAATGTTCCATTCGTTAAGGGCAGTTCCAGGATACTTAGTGAAAAAATGAACCAGCAACCAACCCAAGGCATTCCTGGACCACTTTTTGGAAGTTTCTAGGGGACTTTTTTCACAGCAGTCCATGGCCTAGTAAGTTTGATGCTGTGGTGGAGGAAAGGCCTTACAGTGACTATTTTTGTGCAGAAGTTTCTGG